AAGTCAAAGATTCTCTTTTCTCTCTATTTTTTGCACATCTTTTCGTAAAAAGCCAAAAAGTCATCCCAAACATACTAGTTTTTTTTTAGCTCATGTTTTAGCCAAATAGTCAAAAAGTTACTAAATTAGCCTGTTTTCAAACGAGGCCTTAATAAAGATTATAACCAAATAGACAACCTATCAATTTCCAAAGTAACAATAGTTAACAACGATATTGATATTTGGACAATAAGCATATATACTTTTTTAAGTGAGAGTGAGCAAATAATAAGAAAGAATTGTTTAGGATATTTTATTTTTAAGCCTAAAACATTTTAAAAGGTATAACTGACCTCATACATATAATATTCAATTTAATAAAATAGTAATAGATAATTCATAGTGTAACTTTAATCTTAAACATCTTTAGAAGATATATTACAATTTTTTGAAGGGGAAAAAAATGAGAAGAAATGTTAAAAATATGTTAAGTCTAACTGAATCTAATTGGATGCTATAAAAAACTCCATGATCACTAAAATAACAACAAATCATATATATATGTTGGTTATTTTGGTATTAAATGCAATTAGAAGTTGTATTATGTCATTTTCACTAAAAAAATAGAAAAAATGAGTTGAAAATATGTCGAACACAATAATTTCAAAAATTGCATGAATCGTAAAAAGTGAATCGAATCGTGAATCGATCGTGAATCGTGCAATTCACTAGAGATTTACTTCCAAAATAGATTCACTCATAGATTCGTATCGATTTTGCAAAAATTGCGTATCAAATTGCGAATCGTAAGATTCTGATAACAGAAGTTATGACCTTTAGAAACGAACATAAGTTTCTGTCCAACTTCATTTTCTTTAGGCTGTGGATTTGAGTAGGAATTTGTGAAAGAAAAGGGCAAAAGGAGGGAAAAAAGTTAACGATGAGTTAAATTTTTTTTTCCACTTTTTCCCTTCCCATCGACAAATCCCCTTCTAAATCATTGATACAAACACAGCCTTAGGAGACAATAAAACCAAAAAGTCCATGTAAATAAATTCCTGAAGAGTTATGAAGATTTGGACGCCTGGATAATTACTTTAAGATTCAGTATAAAACATGTTTCATTGTAACCTACATGATTCAACTCATTCATACTGCTAATAAAGCAAAGTGCATGAGGACCATGGCTACCAGAAACTTCTTTAATGGTGGAAAGCACACCCCAGTGCAAGCATGGTTTAGACAATTCACAAACCACAACTACTCAGAGTTCTTATTTTTCTTTCTTTATCTTTTCCCCAATTTCATAAGCATTCTATGCTCAGTTGATAACCATGGATTTGTAAGGTTTCTAAGGAGTTATCCTTCACCAGAAAAAAATAAATAAATAAAAAAATATATATATTACTTGTTAAGATAACAAATGGCTGCGACTGATAATGAACTAATAACAACTACTGTAATTAAGTTTTAGTATTTATATTCTACAATGTTACATTACTTTAACATGACAATTTATTGGTCATGCTTCTTTTCTTTTTCTTTTTTTTGTTTTCTTTTCTTTTGTTTTTTTTTTTTGGTTGATTTATGCACCACCAAGTTAACACTTCTTTACACATTATTATTGTAAGCTCTGGAGTCTTAACATGTTGAAATGCTTTTACGTCTGTAATAGGTCAGAGTTACTTCTTAATTCCCTGTCTACGGAATCCTGATTCTCACTTTCACTTCCCACCTGCTAGACTTGCTCTGATAACTATGGGTATGATTTCTAGATTTCAAGGAACTTTAAATCTGACATTTCATACTTGCACAGAAAGATAATTAATTCAAATGGATGGATATTCATGAATCAAGACTTGCTAAAATGTTAGTTGTCAATTGACATTGATTCTAATGCAGAACCTAGCACTCCCAATAGCAGTCTAACTGTGCTTTAGCACATTTCAATTGCATTTAGAGTGACAACATAAAGCAATGGTACATTGAATTAGAAACAAATGGAGTATGCTAAATTCTCACAGGAGCACTTTATTTTGGCTAAAATTTTTTGACTGAAAACAAAAATGCTAATAATAATAATTATGTTTCCTTTGTTCAGAAAATATAATAATCTTAATATTAGACATGATGCACATAAAGGCAACCAAAACTTTTCAGATACGACATACTGCAAGAACTAAAACTTCCTTTCTCATGCAATTAGAAAAGAGGGATGTGGTAAAAGCAGGGACTTTGATGCTTTATTGACGTCATAAACAAAACCGCATGCATGGTCCAGATGTGTGTGCATGTGTGTGTGTAATCCATATCAAGGCTTTTTTGGGATAAGTAATCAAAATCAAGGCTTGCAAGATTATTTTGGAATTAGTTGGTGGATCTACACCTCAATTTGCGTCTCATAATTTGTTCATTCTTTCCAGGTTTCTACATCATATTTCACAACTGAGATTCTTACTAAACTCGCAATATTAGAGAAGTCGCTGCTGACAGTGAACAAGATCATTCCATCTAAGAGTACCATGTAACCGTAAAACAAGTAAAGATTTGTTTTCACTAATAAGCTTACCAGTCAGGCTGCATGAATAATGCAAATGTTGAACGTTCAATGCCAGAAGCCTCCTCCCCCTTAGGTGCCTAACATGTAACCACTAATCAGGATAAAATTCATGGATGATAAAGCAATAACAAGTGTACAAAGAAAGAGTAGGTTATCAGAGAAATAACAAGTGTACAGAATGAAGAAATGAAAGAGTAATTTATATGATTAGCTTAGAGATACAGAGAAGCCCTACTCATAACTAAAAATGCATGACTTTTGAGTATTCTACATGTTTCAAACATAAAACCCAAATGGTTTATAACTTTTAAGTATATTACAAATATCATGTCAAGAATGTGTGCCCACTACAAATGTTATAATACTCTGTGTGCGCGCACGTGCGTGCGCATATATATAGAGAGATATGTGGCTGAAAGGGTGATGGGGTTTGAACTCTTAAGGTGTATGCTTGAAAAGGATGGGGAAAATGGGACATTCATTTTGATCCTGCAACTGGTGTCACATGTAAATTTTCATTAAGACAGACTAGAGCTTTCAGTGTCAGGGGCATTCTTGTACCTTAACAGAACTAGGGATATTTCAATTATTTTACCTTTGTTTTGTAATGGGTTCTATTAAGTCCTAGTTAGTTTAACTTTAATTGGTTTAGGATACCATAGTTTTGGAGTTAGGTGTTAAGTGTTAAGTCATCAATAGTCCCAAAAGCTTAAACTATTAGGAAATGGACCCAACAATGTATATCAAGCTATTCAACATTCTCTCTCACATGCAACCTGTCTTGCACGTGGAGAGACAATGATAGAACCAAACAAAAGAAGTAAACAACCAAATAGATAAGAAGAAACTAATGCGGACAGAATACCAAATGCCAACGGAGAGCTCTGACACAATGTTAAGTCACCAATTATCCTAAAAGCTTAAACTATTAGGAAATGGACACAACAATGTATATCAAGCTATTCAACATTAGGAAATCCTTTTCGTTGTCTCTAAGCAATAGGTAAGGCTTGGTAGGTGGCTGCATTATGTGTTTTGTGGTATGGAGGGAGGGAGGGAGGGAGCATATTATATCTTTTGATAATGTTGAGCTCCCAATCAGTAGTTTGAAAGGACCTTTGATCCTTTCTCTGTTTTTTTAGTTGAGAAAAGCATCCTTTTCTCCTATTGAAACTTTTGTGCAGCTTATAGGTGACCCTGGATGTATGGCATACAGCATTTTGTCCCTTTCATTGTACATGGTTTACCCCCTTCAAGGCACTCCTTTTTGCTAATGAAGTTTTACTTATCCAAAAAATAAATAAATAAATACAAGAGAGAGAAAGAAAGAAAATACTCCGCAGATTTTGCTCTTTTTTCAGGTGAGACTCAACCCAATTGATTTCTTCTAAGTGAGACTCTTAGAGGGGCCCTAATGTGATCTAAGGTTCTCTCTCTTTCATCCTCCTCTTCTTTTTTTGAATGATTCCTAGAGGATTTTAGCCCTTAGTTCATGCTAAATTAATTCCAAAACCTTAACCCTTTGATGCTAACCCTAATCTCTAATTACCTTCCATGACAACCTCAAAATTCCTGATAATACCTCTTTCTCTAGAATTTCCGGCAAGAAATATCATTTCACATCAAAACAACCAAACACCCAAACCACTTTAATCTGAAAAGCTATTTTTTAGCCTAATCTTATCTACATGACATAAATCAAAAGATCCTGATAAAAAGTAAGTGGTTTATGGTGTGAGAAAAGACATGCTGGTAAGAAAATATGCCAGATAAAAAACAGTTTTGAAAAATACATGTACTCACCACAATTCAAGGGAACTGAAACAAATATAGTAAAAGAAACACATTTTAGTAAAATAACATAGATATGTGAGAGAAAAACACTAGGAAGAGCAACGTTGATCATCAATGGCAAAGGAATGTGATACTATCTCTTATTTCTAATTTGAACAAGTATTAAAGTAGTGAAAGTTTCCTATTTGAATTCCTTGTTTACATTAAGACCTTATATTTCTTAAAACTCAAATGATTTTCTCTAATTGTTGTACTCTACTTGCAGAGTTAAAGTCTAGAGCAGAGACCCCCCAGTACACAAAGGCACCAGCAACCAAGCTTTCAACCCATAAAAAATACAAGGATGATTTCTTTTAACACAATCGATATGAGCTCCATTATCTTTGATGCAGGCAAAAAAACACCATCAAACATTAAAAATAATGGTATCCTCAATGCTAAAAATTTTTGTTAGGAATTTTTGTTGTATTTTGTGTTGGCAATTCCGTTTGACAAAACTGTTGTGATGTATTAGCATTTGTTCTTTTACTTTTGTGAGTTGAGAGTGTTATTATATGTGAATCCGTCCCAGTCTGACTCAAGCAATCATCAGTCAGCAATTTCCATCTTGCAGTATCAAAGACCTGCTGTAGAAGAACCTACAGGGTAACATAGACTGCTCGAGCAGTAAAACTTGTGCTCGAGCTGTCCATTCAGTCTCATAGCATCTCAGTTCTTCAGTCAGAAATCATGTAGAGTCATATAGTTTGCTCAAGCGGTCTAAGGCGGTCATTCAGTTATAACTGCGCATTTTGGATCAGATCTGGATTGAGACTCCAATTCTTCTTCCTAAAATGCAAACAACACAGAGAGAGAGAGAGAGGGAGAGAGAGAGAGAGAGACAGAGCACATATACCTTGATAAATTGAGACTGATATAGTGATCAAAGCTATAGGGATTGAAAATCACCAAGGGTTTCTACATCAATTACACTTTCCAAGAGAGTTCTTCGGTGGATTCCGGGGATTTGAGCTTGGAACCTTTGGTAGATTCCGAAGTGGCTTATCATCGTGGATTCAGTGTTGGAGAAGCAATTTCGTGGTGAAGGCAATGTTGGAAGAGGTACAAGGGGTTGAGGCAATTTGTGCATGGATTCGCTAGGTGATTGTGTGAGAATTCCTTTTGTAATTTCCTATTCCTCACAGCGGATTGCTGATTGTGTGAGAATTCCTTGTGTAATTTCCTATTCTTCATAGTGGATTGGTTTGGTGGCCATTGGCCCATGGTTTTTTTTTTTTATAATTTTTTTTATATATCACAATTGGAGTCCAATTGTGATTTTTTTCCATGTTAAATCTCTCTTGTCCTTAATTGTTTACATCTAATTTGATTTGCATTGAATTAGATTAGGCCATATTGTGATTGTGTTAATTGTTCAATTGGTTGAGAGATCGGTTGCATTGAATTCAAATTACAAATCAATGAATTTCGAATTTGGGGTTTTTTTCAATTTTGACAACCAACAACCAGGAATATCTCCCTCAAAGAGTAAGGGAAAGGGGGTGAGAAAACTGACATATAAACTGAGAGCCAAATGAATTAAGAGGAAGCTTTAATTATGACATTGCAAGAGGAAAAGTTAAAAGCAAGAGACAGGTGACTAATGAAAGACCAAAAGTACCCGAACACAATGTGGTGTCGCACAAAGATGACCTCTTGACAGTATTTCAGTGGTTTCACCAATCTGGTATGCTATTTCATCTTCTCCAAATACCACCTGATGCATTAAGAAGAATACGAGTTAGACAAAAACTATATTTACATGAGCCAAATATTCTATTGGTCGTAAAACCTGTGCGATAGAGCACCGTCATTCAAACCATAACACACAAGATAACAAATCAAAGTTTTTACCAAGTTAAGATCTGTTGCCAAAGAAATTCAACTGTTAAACCTTGACTAGCATGACAATCTGCAATTTTCGTTTTAAAGATCTTTCTCAATTCACTTTTAAGTTTTAATATGGTTTGGTTCATCAGAACTGCAACAAAAATTTGCTTAACAGTAGATTGACCTTAACCAAATGGAACCCGAGTGAGGCTGAACACTGACCTAACTAATCCATTCTATTCTTAGTTAACAATGTGAGTGCATATTTAACCAGAACAGAGCTGCATCAAAGCTTCCGATAACTGTATCTTTCTGCATCAATAATGGGTTTACATTAGATAACACTTGAGATGAAGTGGTTTTTGTTACTCAAATAACAGGGAGAGATGCTTGGTAGCAAGGGAGTTAATTAACAACAGGGCGAGATGCTTTGAAGTTGAAATTTGAGCTAAAAATAGGTGAAAACTTAATAGCAATGGAGCGAGATGCTTTGAGCTAAAAAGGTTCTAGTATGAACACAGAAACTTAGTACATAGATTGCAGACTCAGAAAACTAGGAGTCAAAAGAAGAGAATGAAATTCTAAGGCCGTTACCAAAAAGTGAACATTTTCAGTAGTTGGTTTCAATCATTCCTGATAAGAAGGTCAATGGAACAACCAACCTGAAAATTAGACCAGGATGGATGAAGTGAAGAAGATACTTCTTGTGCTGTTATAGTTGAAGCCATGAAACCATAGGGAAAATTTATAAGGATGTCAGGTTAGACCTGCTTTAGGTCATTGTAGGATAATCGAAAGCTAGATGTCCATCAAGTGAGAGTTGCTAAAAAGAGAATAAACAAAGGTAGACTTAGAAATGAAAGCATTAGCAGAATTAAGCAACAACAAGAAGATTAGCGTGTTAATTAAGAACGTCCTGCATTGAATAGCAATGACGACACCCTAAGGATTAATTTGTTTCAATTTGAAGGCAGTAAGAACGAAGAATAACCACATTCAGGGTTATGTTAGAAAAAATATGATAGCTATGAATTAACAACAGATTTCGTAAGTATGGGCAATCGGAAAAAAGGAAAAAATAAATCTATAAAACAACTTAGTAGTCGGAATGGGTTTGTTGAGTCAAGTTTTGTTGTTACTTGTGTAAGAAATAAACAACATCAGCAATAATTATCAAATTATAAGAATATGTTGCAAAGGATAATGAAATCTCCACTTGTGACATTTCTTTACTGTCTTGGATTCATTTCTCCTATAATTTCTGTCCTGCCCATAGAACCTGTCAGTAGGCATGCTTATGAAGTTCTCAGAGAATAACACATTGAGAATAAATCATAAAGTTATCCTTCTCTTAATTAAAACCGCCCTGGGACAGACACTCCAATGGATATTGAAAATTCTATGACTTTTGACCAATCTTCTATTTATTATGATTTTCTTAAAAGTATCCATCTTGCCTAACCTGTGATGCTATCAACAACTTATTCAAATGCGGGATAGATGTTCAGTATTCAGTACACCCCCAATTATGCGTTGTGTACTTAAAACCTACCTTCTATTTTGGGCCAAACACAAAATATGCTATTAGGGAAGCAAAAGAAGCGCATCAATCTTTGTCTCAGCAATTAGGATTTTATATTTTTTCGCCTACACAAATTGTCATATCATATGAATTTTGTTCTGGTTGTGTAGTTTCTTTATTAAGACAGTCCCTCATGAACATGCATCTAAAAAATTTCAGTATCATTTTGGTTACTTTAAAATAGGTATGAAATCCTATGAATTGTCAGTAAGGACAACAAAAAAAAGAACCACCTTGAATTTCATTTCCCATTTGTATGATGTGCCCAACCATTATTGCTTATACATGTGATTAATTGCTTACATGTTCTATGCAATTCTTTTTATTTTATTTTATCTGACATTAAAGTTCAAGTCTACCACAAACATCAACAACATCTATAAACAATTTTCCACATTATTTCCCAATTTTGAATCTCCCTTTTAACTTCCATTGCATGACTTCACCACTGCGTTAAACATGTCCACTACCGATATTATCTTTTTTATATTTACTTTCATTGATGAACTTGGCTCTTTTAACACTCATTGGATTTCAGATGCAATCTCAACCTTCTTGTTACCCACCATGTATACTATTTTCAAGGTATATATTTCCCCCAATTTTGAGGTGAGATAGATCCACAACATTTGCATACATAATTTTGAATAAATGAAAAACTATCACTTCTAAAGTTGAAATAAAAAACCTTCAATGAAGCATATATTCTGTTATCAAATCGGATAAATAAATTGCAAGTAAAATCTTTGCACAACTACAGTTTCAAGCACAAGAAAGTATACTTTAACTATTTGATCATTTCGTGTTTTGATATAAAGACCGGCAGCACTATCAGGGCAAGGTAACTCTACAGCATCTCTCATAAACATGCCACGGGTAAGACCTACATGTTGAATTCAACCACAAATTAGAGACAAAATAAGAAATATTGACAACAATTTCAAATCTACTGGAAAAATCTGAAATTGATCTGAATTTGTTTATCAAGCTGCAGGCTATCCAATAAATTGTTTATGGATAGGGAATACATATAAAAACTTGTTTAAAAATCATATTTATTTCATAGAGGGAAATTAGGGCAAAATTTTCAAAATTCTAGGTGAATACTTAGCATTGGAATCTGAACTATGACATCATGCTTGTCACATACAATTCAAAATTTTGAAAGGTCCTTTGCCAGTCTCAAGTGTGGTTGATAGGATGGTGGTTACTAAAGCTGTATATTACTTCATTTTCACAATATACATGTAATAAACATGAGCGGTGGAGATCATGTGGGCTGGTGAGGAAGCATTCTGGGAAGTAAGGCACTCGTTGAGGTGGCATGGCCCATCGAAAAGTAGACAAGGTGAGAGTAGATGCAGTATCAGAGCAAGGGAGAGAAAAAGAGTCATGTGGGTCAGATGTTGAACTAGAACCTCTATGGTTGGAAAGATGGAGAAGGTTGTCTTGCATGAATGAAGGGAGGCTCTATTAATAAGAGGGTCAAGCCATGGAGGCCAGCTCATCTGGTCACATGACTAAGTGGAAGAAAGGGGACAGGCGGCCCTCCTTTTCTTGGCTCAACAAACTGAAGGCAAATCCAGCACTAGTAGTATTGCCGAAATTACATTCCTTCGTCTATAAATAAGAAGAAAAAAAAAAAATTAAATGATATTTTTAAATTAATAATTGTATATGTAGATGCTTTGATCGAATATACAAATCCAGTACTTTATCAGCAAGGCTCTCTCCTTGTAGAAGTTCAATTTGAGTTACCAAATCTGCTTTATATTTGAATTCAAAATTTTGGTTTGGGAACACCACTCTTCATCGTATTGGCGATGTTCTTGCTTCACCTAGCAACAATTTCAACCACCAGCACAGGTATAAACTATAAAGCATGGACACCTCTCCGGAGGTCACGTATGAGTGTCCGACACATGTCGGACATGCTTGAAAGAGTCGGACACGCTGTAGACACATAGGGATATGCTGAGGACACGCTAGGGACACATAGGGACATGCTGAGGACACACTGGGGACACATTTGTCATGTTTGTTTGGGTGGATATGAGCTTGGGATTGGACTAATAGTCCAATAAAATTATTAATCCGATGTTTGGTTAAACAATTGAAATACAGACTAATTATTTTAAACTTGACTATTAGCTAAGATAGGATACATAATCCAACGGATTTGTAGTTCTAGGACTATTAGTCATAAGAATGCTAATCCAGTCCGTCCAAACAAACATGGCCATTGGGTACACACTGAGGACTATTTTTTTCAAAAAAAATTAATTTTTAAATTTTTTTTTACTAAAAATAACATACCTAAATTTGATAAAATTAAATATTTGACATTAAATACATATTAAATATTTAAAAATATGACATATAATAAATATATA